TGTTGCTTTTTGGTATCAGCCTGACTATTTTTGCCCAGTGTATAATAGTTCTGCTGAAGTTTTACTGTTTGTTGGTGAACATATCTTCATAAGGAAATTTTGGAAAATTCATCAAACTCAATGGATTAGTTTCTTCATAACCCACTTGGAATTATTCCTAATAAAATGATAAAATGTATAGTTCTGTGTATGCTCTTCTTGATTCCTGAAATAGTTAAATGCAAATTATCACTTATTCTTTTTCCATATACTGAGCTTTCCTGCAGATTGCATATGAACATCAATCTCAGACTTTCACTTGTTTGGAGCTGTGTTTGGAGCAGGACATGGAAGGGGGGCAACCAAGTTGTATACAGTGCAGTAGAGTAGCTGTCATCGGGACTTACATAATTCTGTAAGTGTCTTTTGAAGTTGTAAATCTAAAATTTCTTTCAAGATGTCCAGATATGAAAATACTAACAGTTAAAAAATTGTAATAAAACAAATACGAACTGCCTGAAAAGCACACGTCTGTTTCGTGGTTGTATCCACATGTCAAAACCAGCGTGGGTTTAGCAGGAGAATCGCAGCTTGGGGGCTTCTGGGAGGACAACCACAGCTTGGTGGCTGGCTGGGAAGGTAACCTGAGTGCTTTTACAGGGATTTACTTAATATTATTGCTGAGAATCTCCTCAGAAGATTATCTCTATGCAACTGCTACTGTCTGTTTTCCTATTTCTACCCCCTTCTACCTATGTAGTTCAAAAGACTTCATATGTGTTTTGAGGCTGCTACTAATGGGTAGTTTAAAACCTTTTTTTCTGTTGCCTGTCTGCTGTATGGAGACAGATACTGCTCACTCCTCTGACTGAAATGTGCTGTTCTATTGACTGGATGCCTTTAGGAACCCAGAGCATGATTCCGCTGCAGTTTCAGGCTCAGCACCTCTCAGTTTCCACCCAAGTCTTGTTACCCTTGCTACAAGAAATCCCAGTGACAAACTCTGGTAAACACAGGCTGGTTTAGGTTCAGAGCACCTTCCAGGGCAGCTTCTGCCTGGAAGTGAGGTTTGAGTTCCTAGGAAGTGTTTTTACTGTGAACACAACCAGGGAAAATTCCAGAGTTTTTGAATATGGTCATTAGCTGCCTTCAATGGATAACAGAAACTCAGGAGACAGTGTAAGGTGAGAAGGGTTCTGCCTGCATCTTTAATGAATTGGTGATTATTTATTAACCAAAGCTGATATACCCATGCATTGGATCAGTAGCTGTTAATGTGCATATTTCTAGCAATGCAGCTCCTTGAATTAAAAGGAACACTTTGTTCAGAAGAGACAGCTTCTCCCTAATGCAGGTTGGTATTTGTGGTCCCGGTAGGTTACATGAAATAATGCTTGTTACAAAGTTAGAGGTAGACTTTAAATGAAGCATAAGATACTTTAAAACAAATTAAGCATTTTACTGTGAAGGAAACACTCTGCTTGGTAGAGATTTAATTACTTTTGTGAGTAAAGACGTTCAGGTGAGCTCAGTTGAGCCGCTGAAACTTTGCACATCACCTTGTCCAAATGTTTCTTTCCCACCCTTGAGAAGAATAGTATTGACAAGGGACTTGAGTAAGAAATTACATTCTTCATGCTGCTGTTGGACTTATGAATAAAGCTGAGCTGCCAAAACTGAAATGTTTCAGGCCTTTCGTCTTACTGGGTGGGAGTGAAAAGGCTTGGAACAATTTTATTTTTTTATTGGTATGCCAATAATATGAGAAACAAGACAACTGCATGATTAATTTGAGGTGTTGAAAGACTCGATGCCTTAGCACATTGGGTATTTTTCCCCTTCTTTGTTTTGTACCATTTTTCTCCTCTCTTTTCCTTTTCTTCTTCCTTCTCTCAGTTGTACTTGGCATCATTGTTTGCTTTTCATGATACATAAAGGCATTTTACTGAAAGCTTGAGTTATATCCTTCAAAAACAGCAGTGATACAAGAGGTACTGATGTGTAAGAATTCAAGTACTAATTGTTACAGGTGCCTAAGAGCCTCTTTGTCTGAAATAATATGAGTTCCAAGTTGCCAGATCAGTCTGAAGGATCTGGCAGAACTCGGTTGATCCTGTAGGTATCAAATACACAGGTGTTATTTCACAATAACCAGAACCTAAGAACTAGCCAAGCCTCTGTTACCTCTAGAAGATCAGTCTTTCAGTGCCCTTAGTTCTGTAATTTTCTTGTGAGTGACAAGTTTGTCCACTGCAGGAGCCAATGGGAAAGAAGAAACTCCTCCGTCCTGAGACAACAGCCAGGCAGGAGCAGCACCTTCAGTTGAATGCATCAGAGATGGGAAAGTTGAGTAGATTTTCCTTTTTCCTTAATGGATGGTCTGGGAAAGTAGAGTAACAAAAAACAACAAAACCAGAAACAAAAAAACCCCACACAAATTTACAAAGATGTGAGAAGAATCCTACCCAGTTTTTTGATGTGAAGGATGAGGAGCATTCCAATTGCTGAATGAGGAACAAATACAAGTGGGTTTAGGTTTATGGAATAAAATTGAGAAAAGCTTGAATAGGGTTTCTGCAAATCTGGGTTCTGGATGGGATTTCGAGAGGAATAATTAATTGCTGGGCAAGGTCCAGATGTGTAGGGGGAGCTAAGATGGGAGTTAAAGTCACCGTATGTGCAGTAGGAAGCACCATATGTTACCTGACACAGATGTAAACACAGCTTGGGAGCGTGGGGGCTCTGGGCCCAAGGGTTGCTTTCACCCCAAAAACTCACAGTTCTTTGGAATTGTGGCTTTCCTAACCTAGACCCTAGTGCTGCCTTCTTATTCCAGAAAAGTCCGACTGGTTCCTGACATGTTGCTGCTGTTGGCAGTGAGGCTCTGCTGCTGTATTTTACTAATCAAACAGGGAACAAGGGGACTGGAGAGTCTGCAGGACCAGCTCACAGGGCTGGGTTTCCTCCTGAACACAGTCAAAGAGTATCTGCCATGTTCAAGGGCCATCGAATTTTACAGGCCCATCCGTGTTTGTCCCTCACCACTTGCTTCCTGCAGATTCCAGCTTCCCTGTGCACCCCTCTCCGTGCTCTGCAGGGAGACAGAGGCAGCAGCCCAAGTACCAGCACAGGGAGCAGGAGGGACTTGTCTTTCTCGGAAGGGAGGTAGAGAACCAGGCAAGTCTGTTCTCTCAGCAGCTCCATCTTCTGGTTCCAGGGACAAGCTACAGATTTTTAGTGGTTTGGCTTCGGAAAAGACAAAGTAACCCAGTTGTAAGGGATAGGTGCTGAAAAAGGAGGAAAATAATGTTCTTTCAAGTTATAAGGGGTGCTCAGTTAAGCCATATAAGTAATGTGATTTCATTTCCAAACTTCACAATTGCAACTTTACTATTCTAAGTGACTAAGACATTTCACTTGCCAGCCTACAAGCCTGCATTACTCAGTGGTTTGTTATTTTCCCCCCTTTTTTTTTCAGAGCTGGTAATTTGTAAAAGGCCTCTGACTCAGCTGTAGTACAGTCATTTTCAGTGTTTTCCCTGGTGTTGATACTGAATTTTTTTCTTGAACAGACCTTCCAATTAATTTTTCTGCCCTTTAAGATGCCATATGCTTGCAAATGTTACATCTTCAGGTGTAAGCTTTCTCTCATTTACTAAATTAGTAAAAATTCTTTGCCCAGGTTTACAGCCTCCATTCTGTTCGCAAGATTTTCTCCTCACTTCTGTATCTTCAAGTTTAATTACGAATCACCAATACTTTTATTACCAGCTTTGTGGTTTAGAAGAGTACAGACAGTACCTTCAACTCATATGCAAGACTGAATTACACTTTTTAAGAACAGAAACTAATCAAGGACCCACCCAAAGTATTTAGGATCCAATTTTACAGGGTGAGTACTGTCTGCCACTCTTGCAATGATCTAACATCCTTCATTGCCGCATTCCATTTTGCTTCCCTTTTTTATCCAAAGGCTTTTAGCTACCATTTGGCTTAACTAGAACTCTGGCTTAGCAAAAATTGGAATCTGAGGGTTTACATATAAGTCTGGCAAAGCTGTTGGAATAAATGAGCTCCCTTTCATTGAGGTCTTGGGTTATGTTTTGTGCTGGATCTGCTTAAGCAGGTGAAAGTCTTGATTCAAGCCTTGATGACCTATTCCCACCTCCAAACCTGTTATCTTGTTCTTTGGGCACAAAAGGTTTTATGGTGAATCAGCTCAGGATATAACACCCCACTAAAATGATAATACAAGAGAATTAAAGCCCTGTATTTTTAGCTGGATCACTTCCCTTTTTTAGTTTGGTGTAGCATGAGCGAGAAGCCAGAATTCACAGGAGGTAGAGCAGGGTCAGTTAAGAGTTTGGGATGAGAGGAGGAGGGAAGGTTAACTGCTTATGTTGCTGGAAAAAGCTGCTTGCACAGGACATTTACATGAGCTCTTGAGTAACACAGGCAGTAACTCTGCACTTGCAGAGTAGTGGAATTTGTCAGTTGGCCTTTACCTGTGTGCAGAGTTGCTTACAAAACACTGGACAGTTCGTGAGATTTGTCTGTTCATGTCATGCTGTTTGAGACATAGTTGGAGATGTATGGGCCTGCATCTTTTTAGCCTTTTAAGACCTCTGAAGCTCAGTCTGCCTGGTGGCTTTACTCGTGCAGTTGTTTATCAGCATCGATGTGTTAGCTGCCCAGACACTACAGTAGCAAAAACCAGTAGTAATTTTATTGGAAATAACATAGAAAAGGCTGAAGAGCAGATGTTAACAAGCTTCTGCAAAGCATACCTTTCACAGCATAGCCAGTACTATGGCAAGAGGCAGCACTAACAGCCCTCAGCAATGTGCTACTTGAAAGGGACTGCCTGATTTTAGTAGTCTATGAACAGCTGGGGGAATCCCAGTTACAACCTGCAGTCAACCAGAATGCAGTGGAGGTGACTAGTTGTGAAAGTAGAGGGTACACAGCTTTTATCAACCCAGATGAGCTTCTGACATAAAAAAAGTAAGAAAAAAAAACAGTGAGAGACAATCGACACAGGGAGCTTTATTGGTGAAAGAGGAAGATCTAGTGAAATGGTTTCCAAATGCCCTTTGTTACTTATGTGCTAATGATGCAAAGCAAGAAGCCTGGTAAATGATTCAACCCTCTCCAACAAATTCAATGAAGGTATGGATAAATACATTTTCTCACATCCAAATTATCTCCTACAAAATAAGGAAAACTAGGCTATTTCTAGAAGGAAAAAATGCAGGTAATAACACTTAAAAATTCAGGCTGTCTTTGTATGCAAGAGAGGAGCAAAATAGAACCGTTGTGTTAAAGGTTTGCAAGTCACTTTTGTTTCTTTTTCAAGATTTAGGCACAGACAGCTAATGCACCACACTAACTCCTCTGGAAACAGATGATAGTGATGAAAAGCTCCCTCCCATCCAAAGCTGGTTGTCCTAAACTCTAGTATTTCTTTTCTTGCCAATGACTCAAAACAACAGAAGGAAGAGATGTTCCAAGTAGATGCCACCTCTACATGTAGTCCAGTTTCACTGAGTGCTAATTTTACCCTCAGTACCCACGTTACATGGGCAAGCAAAATGCTTCCATATCAATTATAAACTTGAATTTAACATGGTTGATCATTGTCAGAAAGTCTATTCACTGAAAATTAAGAACACATTTTCAGAAGGTATTAGGTGCATTTGTTCATGCCATTTACTAAAAAGTTGGGATACAGTAATGGTAAGTGAACGAGACAATTTCTGAACTTATTTTTTAAAAATTGTCATTTTTTAAAAATTACAGTGAGGTTGAATTAACTAAATCCATTTGGGTTTGGGTTCTGTGCGTGGTTCTGAATTAAACAGGGTTCAATTGGTACACTGTATTACAAATCAGATTAAATTTCTATGTTTTTAATAAAATAATTCTTAATCCTTTAGAAACACCAATAAAAAGGTATATGATAATCCAATTTTCAAAACCATGTCTTAAATATATTTTTCCCATTAGCGTATAAAAAAAGGGGAAACTTATCATGCAGATATTCTGAATGGTGTGATAATATTCGGTAGAACCATTAAACACATGAACTTTTCAGTAATAGTTTTGGCTTTCCTTTTAGTAGCATACAAATCAGGGTGTAACCTCAGTTCCCCAGCAATACACTAAATTTCTGGTTTGAAAACCCTCAAAAGCACCATGCCAGAGCTGCTCTATTTCCACTTTAAGTCACATATTAGTGCTATATGATCAGAAGGATGTGAAACACTTGGCAAAGCCTGGTGGGTTGTTACTTCTTCATGAGTTGGCAATGGAATGACTTGTTCAACCTCTAGAGCGTTTTTGTCAATGAAAATGTAGTCCAGGCATCCATGAAAGCCACCAACATAGTTTGTATAAGCAGGTTCCCCACAAGCACTCAGCAGTTTGAAAGGGTGGCTCAGAGCCATACTGCACCTTTCTTCTTCCCCATTGGAGACCCAGTCCTCGTGATCTTCTGCAATGACACCGCTGCTGATAAAGCTGTAAGTTCCTGAGGATGGTGTGCTATTAAAATCTCCACAGAATATGACTGGGATACTGGGATACAGGTCATGGGCCACGTGCTTGATGTGGGACAAGGCTACAGCAATTTGGATGAGCCGGATGTTCCCACCTAAGAATAGAAAAAAGTATGATTTCAAATACTGCACAACAGCATTGCAGCAATTTCCCAAGTTGCTCATTGAAGCATATATCAGTTATAGCTCTGAAACAGCAATTTTACATTTTAGAATAGTTTCCACAAATAAGCCTTTGAAGTTTGTGACTATGAAAGTTTTTGAGAGGCAGACAATGCTTTAATTTAAACTCGGACATGAAAGGACTCTGAACCTTAAACATCCATATTACAGCAGCTTTCCATTTCACAGCAACCATCCTAATAATGTTCCCAAAAGAAAACTTAAAGGAGGAGAATGTCTTCTAAAAGCTTCTGTAGCCCAACCTGGTTGCCCTCCTGGCAGTACCCCAGCAGAGCCCCTTCAGGTACAACAGGACTGGGAAGCCACGAGCACACACAAAGCCATCTCTGTTTTATGATCTGCTCTTTGGGTGAATTGTGTGTAACATGACTTGCCTTTCTTTCAGCTGTATTCTACTGACTCCCAGGCAGATTAGGAAAATACACAAACAGACCTAGGAGCCTGGCTTGATTCATCTAAAGAAGTAAGGCAGGAAACCCTCAGTTCCAGAAGAAAAGGTTAAAGCTGCAAAAGAACTGTGGGAAATCTATCCTCCCAAGGAAGGGCAAAAACTCTTAAAAAGCCAGTTATCCTACAAGTGAGAACATGTCAAAATTACCTTTGGGGTGCCAGTATAGGTGGGTATTTGCTACACAAAGCTTCCTGGAAGGATCAGTTGTAGACTGAAGAACCGAAACCTTTGAAAGAAAAAGCAGTCTTTGGTGAGTCTTAAACTGAGAGGTCATATTTTAAGAAACAGCTTATGCCTTTATGACAATCCAGTTACTCATAACAAATAGACTCAACTTAGGAACTGTACTTTTCATTAAACTTCTATATAACGTCTCAGTATCAAACAAAATATTACCACTACATCCAGGTATTTGATGAATATGCTTTTGACTGTTTGTATGACTGGTTTGGCCATATTTTTTTCATAAGATGTTGTTAATGCTGTACCATTCTTAACTACTTATAAGTTCTATTCACCAATTCTCTCTGCAACAGAACTGGACCCAAACCTCTGGTTTTAGGAAGCAAACTGTAGCATTGCATGGTTGTTAAATTGAATTTAAATTTAGAGGTGATTTCAGTTATCACAGAAATCCTGTTAGTCCTACTCAGTCCATGAGTACAAAACTTTTACCACTGTATGCTTCTGAAGTTCTTGACACAGACCTGTACCTTACACATTTGTACTTGCACAATGGTTCTGCTGGAAGAGCCACTGGCATCAGGAAGCTCACAAACATGTCCAACCTTAATTCTCTCCCTACTGTCACTTTTTAAAGTGGCAATTAACTTATTTAAAATTGGTTTATAATAAAGTCTTGAAAAATATGTATTCTGACATATGAGAGTAAATAGTAAAAAAGTTGACAGCCAATACCACCAATTAGGAATCACTACCTGGCCCAGAATCTCAACAGCTGTCTTCACTTTCAAAGAAAATAATACCACCTTTTTTTTTTACCAAATTTTGGTAATTCCATATATCCAGATCAGCAAAGTCTCAATGTTTTGTTCTCATTTCCTCTATGCATTACCCCAGAGAACACACCATAGTTCCAATGTTTCAGATTGTTAATCCCTCACCTCCCTTCTGTGGTTTCAGTCTTAACAAACCTGGCCAGAGGAGAAAGAGGAAAGAAAGGAAGAAGGCCTGTCAAAGGTGTTACCTGCAGCACAGACGACCTCTGCAGCACCTTCTCCTGCACCAGGGGGTACTTGGCCAGCTGATCGCACAGCTCCTTGTGCAGCGGCTCCGAGAGCAGGGCTTCGCTGAACGCGATGTCGTGCTGGCTGAGGAGGCTGAACTTGTCCCTGCGATAGAAGGTGGCCAGGCCTTCGTGCTGCTTCTCCTTAATCTTGAACAGCCCTTCGAGTCCAAAAGCATCCAGGGCCGGGGCCAAGCTGTCCACGAAGACAGACTTATCCACCTCTTGCAGGCAGATGATGTCGGCGCTGTATCCCGCCAGCTCCTTCTTGAGCAGGTTCTGGCGGTAGTCGATCTCCAGGGCGTAGGGAGCGCAGTAGGGGTAGAGCACGGTGCGGGAGAATTCCGTCTGGGCGTAGGTGTCGGCCAGGATGTTGTAGGACACGGCGCGGACCGAGCCCTGCCCGCAGACCTTCTTGGTGTAGAGGTGCCGGTTGTCGAAAGTGCAGGCGCCAGGCCCGGCCTCCACGGGGCCGCTGCTCTCCACCTCCCGAGCGGGCCCGTAGCGCTGCTCCCCGTCCCCGGGCGTGCAGCGCAGCTTCAGCCGCAGCCCCACCAGCGCGTTGGACGGCGTGAACACGCGCT